CAGCAGCACCAAAGGCCCCTGCATTCGCGCAGCCCTAAAACCCGCGGGCTCAGGCCTGCTTCTGGAGCTGACCTGCTGCTGCTGCTGCTGCTGCTGTCGTGTTTATTGCAGTGGATTCTGCTGCTCTTCCCGCTCTTCTCTCCATTTGTTATGCTGAACGCCGCAGCACCAAAGGGAAATGCGGGACCGCTGCTTCTTCCACTTCTTGGCTCCTGGCTACTTTCTGCGTTGGCTGCTGCTGCTGCTGCTGCAGCTTCTGCTGCTGCTGCTGCTGCTTGCTGGAGAGCAGCATGCAGCTGCGCTCGCAGCAAGCCTTTCACGCCCACCAAGGGGCTGCTACCTCTCTTCCTTCATAGCCACGGGTAGACAGCAGCAGCAGCAGCACAGGGGCTGCAAGGAAGGCCCATCGTTTCTGAAGATTCCTGCTTCTGCTGCTGCTGCTGCTGCCGCTGTGAGGAGGCCAGCCCAGGGGTTGGGGGCCCGGCTGGTTCTGGTGGCAGCAGAGCAGCAGCAGCAGCAGCAGCGGCTTGTGCGCACGCGGGTTGCCGCTGCTCACATGGATGAGCCCGAGGATATGGAGGAGCTGCTGCAGCAAAGTTTGCTGCAGGAGCAGCAGGAAGAGAGAGAAGACCCCGCGGAAGTAGCAGCACGCAGCAGCAGCAGCAGCGAGGGCTTCTACGGCTTTGATGAGGGGGAGGAGGACTACCAGGAAGCTACGGAGAGGCTGCTGCCGGCCCGTTTCGCAGCAGCAGCAGACGAAGAAGCAGCAGCAGCAGCAGCAGCAGCAGAAGATCTGGGGGAGGCTGAGGCGCTCAGACAGAAGCAAGTGGGGGCCGCAGCAGACAGCACCGACGACGCAGCAGCAGCGGAGGCAGCAGCAGCAGCAGCAGCAGACGAACAGCAGGAATGGCTGCCTCCTTCGCAGACAGCAGCAGCAGCAGCGCGGCGGGCGGCGCTGCGCGCGCTGCAGCAGCAAGCAGCTGGGACAGCTAGCCACGCCTGGCTGCCCCCGCAGCTGCAGCAGCAACAGCAAGACTTGGAAGCAAGACATAAAAGAGAAGGACTTCCTCCCCCCAGGGCCCGCACAGTGGACCAGCTGCCGGTCAAGGCCCTGACCATTGGTCAAGACACCATTCTCTACCGCCAGGTGCGCAGAAGGCCTCTAGCTGCGGTGGACAGCTAGCTAGCTGGCCAGCTAGCTGGCTAGATGTCTAGCTGGTTGGCTAGCTAAGTAGCTAGCTAACTAGCTAGCTAGCTGGCTAGCTAGCTAGCTAGATATCTAGCTAGCTGGCTAGCTAATTGGTTGGCTGGCCAGCTAGCTAGCTAGCTGGCTAGTTAGCTGGCTGGCTAGCCGCGAACCTAGCCAGCTAGGTAGCCCGCTAGCTAGCCAGCTGGCTAGCCAGCCAGCTTGCCAGCTAGCCAGCCAGCTTGCCAGCTAGCCAGCCAGTAAGCTGGTTAGACAGCAGGTTCTAGCCAGCTAGCCTGCTAGCCAGCTAGCTAGCCAGTTAGCTAGCCGGCAACCTGGCCATATTGCCAAACAGCTAGCTAAACAGCCACCCAACTAGCTAGCTAGCTAGGTAGCTAGCTAGCTAGTTAGGGACGAAAGGTCGAGGAGGCGCAGAGAGACAGGGGGAGCAGCGGAGCAGCAAAATGAGAAGACAAAAGGAAGCAGAACAGAAGCAGCAAAGTTCTTGAATTAGTTTGTTGAGAGTTTTTGAACTAATTTGTCTGGACTTTTGAATTAATTTGTTGATACTTTCGAATTGGTTTGTCTCGACTTTTGAATTAATTTGTTGATACTTTTGAATTAATTTGTTGAGGCTTTTGAATTAATTTATCGAAATTTTAAAACTGATTTCTCGAGACTGTTATATTAATTGCTGCTCTTAGGCCCTCGACTCCACGCCGATGTTTATCGACTTGAAAACATTCGAGAAGATCAAAGCCCAGTGGGCAGACAACCCCGAAGAGCTCAAGAGACTCCAGAGAGGTGTCTTGCTGCTGCTGTTGCTGTTGCTGCTGCTATTGCTGTTGCTGTTGCTGTTGCTGCTGGCACCGAGGCCAT